GCCATGGGGCAGAGCTGCAGGGACCAGGGCAGCACCCGGCAGCCAGGGCCACCCTGACCTGCTGCCCCGCATGGTCCAGGGCAGGATCAGCAGGATCTCAGCGCCCTGTAGGGACCCAGTGCAGGATCCAAGTGAAGTATCCCAGTGCAGGATCCCAGTGCTCCATAAAGACCCAGTGCAAGATCCCTGTGCGGGATCCCAGTGCCCCATAGCGACCCAGTGCAGGATCCCTGTGCCCCATAGGGACCCAGTGTGGGATCCCCATGCAAGATGCCATCGCCCAGGATGGACCCAGTGCAGGATCCCAGTGCCCAGTAGGAATCCACTGCAGGATCCCACCATTCCACACAGCTCCAGTACAGGATCCCATTCCTGCAGTGCAGGACCCCAGTGCCCCCTCCAGCCCCTGTGAAGGTTCCCTGTGTCCCACATAGCCCCAGTGCAAGATTCCAGTGCCCCATGTGGCCCCAGTGCCGGATCCCCTTGTTCCAGTGCAGGACCCCAGTGCCCCGTATGGCCCCAGTTCCCTCCGCTGCTCCGGTCAGTGCAAGACCCCGGTTCCCCACGTGGCCCCAGTGYGGCTGGGGCTGCAGCTCACGGATCCCCGGCTCCTCGTGCGTCGTCCCGGCTCTGCTGGGTCCCTGTGCAGCTCAGACGTCCCGCGGCCTCGGCTGGCACCCGCTTGGCACCGAGCAGGGACCCCCTGCCCCCCGAGGGGCCCGCGGCTCCCCCTTGGAGCAGGGGACGCTCCCCTCCATGGGGTGCCCCAGCCCCCTGGCAGCATCGCCCCACATCACCCCATGGGGACAAGGTGGCCGCAGGAGCCGCCCGGCAGCTGCATGGAGCTGCCAGGGCAGTGAGGGGCASGCAGGGGATGCGCCTGCTCCGAGCCCCGTGCCCGGCAGCCCGCGCAGCCCCGCGGGTCCCCCGAGCCCCAAACCCTGCCRGGGCAGAGCCCCCGTGAGCATGGAAACTGGGATGGGGACGGGGACAGGGATGCTGCATGTCCTGCCCAGGTGGAGGTCCCAACAGAGCAGGGCCGTGAGGACGGGGACAGGGACACAGTGTGTCCTGCCCGGGGGGAGGCCCCCGGGTGCTCAGCCCCCGGGACGGCACCCCAAGGCGCCCGGTGCCGCGCTGGGGTCAGTGTCACCGGCGCCAGGCTGGGGACCGCGGGGACACGCGGGGGGGGCGCTCGCCGTC